CAACGAAAACAAACAAATGCAAACAGTAACTTAAAAAACATTCAAATAAAATGAAAAAGAATAACTTAAAGAGATTGTCAAGAGGTTTTCTAAATTTTGTATGTGTATCAGGGACACTGATATCATCAATTTACACCATTCTAATTTACATTCAGACATCTGTGGCTTCTGTAATTCCACTAAACCAAAGTGTTTGATGATGTCACTAATCGCAAAAACTGCCAGAACAACAGATATCTGATTGTAAATTAGAATGGTGTAAATTGATGATATCAGTCTCCCCGATACTCATCAAAATATAGAAAACCTCTTTAAATTCAAATTTGAAATGAAAATAACACAAAAGTCCAAGTTAAAATCAAGCAAAAACAAATACAAGAGTAACAAGAAAATAACAATCTTAAAAAGGAACAAGCTTAAATTTAATTTTATGCCAACAGCAGACAAATTTTCTTAATCACATGCCCCATAAAATTGCAGTCTTTTTGCACAAAACAATTCCTATATGCCATTAAAATAAAACACTTAGTTTTAGTTGAATTGCAAGGACCACAGACGTCTGATTGAAAATTGGAATGGTGCAAATTGATGCTATCAGTGTCCCTGGTTTAGAAAACCTTTACAATCCCTTTAACTTACAACAATTGGGTACAATTTTCAAAGCTATGTAGACATAACACAAATATTACAACATACAAGGTCTCTAGACCATTTTCTAATAAAGAACATTTCTCTTAAAGGGATTGTAAAAAGGTTTTCTAAATTTTTAATGTGTATCGAGGACACTGATAGCATCAATGGCACATCTGTGGTTCTAAACTAAGCATTCTGTGTCACTATCACAAAAGCTGCTGATAATAAAGAAGGTGCTGCATGAAAGTGATGCCATAAAATGCTTAGTTTTAGTAGAATTGCAGGAACCACAAAACATCTGATTGAAAATTGGAATGGTGCAAATCAACGCTATCAGTGTCCCTGATACATATGTAAAATTTAAAACCTCTTTACTTTCCCTTTAGGACACATTACAAAATAATACAAGTTTCTCTTGACTGACAGATAGAAGCACTGGCCTTGGCATTAGAAATTTGTGTTCTGGAAGATTCAAGTCTACTGCACTAAAGTGCCTAATGACAAGCCAACTGCCTTCAAACTGAATTATCCAAATTGCAAATTGATTGACAAACTAAGCTCCACCTTATGCATGTGCCTCATATAGATTAATTATATATCATGTAACTTGAGCCTTCAAATCCATGTGTGTCCAGAATTATCTGTGTTTGAATGTGAAAATGACGACTCAAGTTAAGATACTTTGTGTCATATATAGAAAAGATATATATAGAAATAGTGAGTAAAATTCCTAGTTTGAAGTATTTTAAAGGAATTATGCGATTTTCGTACATTTCTAGTACTTCTGAAGACTATTTACATATATTCAAGACTCAAATCAAACCCCCCAAAATTGTGCACCTGTTCCTTTAAATTTTCTGCAAATTAATTGACATATTAAGCTCCGCCTTTTGCATGTGTTACATATGTAATTACATTATTCATATACTAAATTGAAAGGGTTTTAATTCTATGCTGTGTTCAAACAGATGGAACCAAATATAATTGATAATGACGATCCAGTGATGATTTTATTTTCTATAATGGATGTTAATTCCTCAAAAACCAAATGTCTGATGCTTTAGGAGAATGGTAGCAGGCGGACAGAGATGGTGAAATGAAATGGGGGAAAGTGCGTCCAATCTAACACCTCATATACTACTATGGTGTCAATATACCTCCCCATTGTAATATGGACTTGTAAAAATGATAATTATGTTGACCAATTTATTTCATTTGCAAAATCTATAATACGTAAATTTAATTTTAAACTTTTTATTAAAAAAACACAACATATAAACTTCAACTTCATTAAACCATAAAATTAATAACACTGAAAAATAAACTTAAAAAAAGAAACTAAGTACAAATATAAATATCAGAAGAAGCACTTTAATCGACTAATTGCACACAAACATGATGCGAAATTGAGATTTCAACAGGGAACCCTATCTTCACAATAGCAAGCTATTACGAAATTTGTACTTAAAACTTGACTGCGATAGCCAATATTCTTGTATCAAGGAATGCAGTGATTTGATTGGATTGTACACTAGCTAATATAGCCAATCAGAGACCTCAAAAGAAAAGCTGGCTGTGTATTCGCTAAGGTACAATCCAATCAAATGGCTTCATTTACAAACTTCCATGAAACCAGAAAAGTGTCTATTGCAGTCACATTAAAAGATGAAGTTCGTAATAGCTTGACTTAGTGAAGATGGGACCCCCAGACACTATCAACTCCTATTTTCCGGAGGAGAATTAACTGAATATTGTTGTTTAAAAACAGACTAGAATTCTAAACCAATGACTATAGTGAGATTCTTAAGGTGCTCTCACACCATAGCGATCACCAGTTATGAATAGTTGCAAAAATAAGAATCGCTGTACTAAATTTCAGAACTCATGGTTACTTTCAACGTTACTCTCAACCAAATACAACTAGTAATCACTATGGTGTGAGAGCATCTTTCTTGAAGCCAATAAATAAGTAAAACTAGCAAAATATCATGAATCTTCCTTAATATCACAAGAATACTTGAAAAATCAAATCATCCTTTGAACCAATATCATACGTTTTCTGTTAATATTTCAATATAATTCTTGTTTTCTCTATTCAAATTAAGAGGCTAATATCATTGCTAATATAAAAAAAAAAATGCCAAAACAGGCTGATCAACCACTTTAATAAATGTTGATAGTAGACGCTATTATCACAAATACTTTAGACTGAGAACAATTGCAATATCATTAACGGTACCGTAGTACAAGACGATTCATCAAAAAATCAAATTCACTTCAACAACCAGTCACAGAAATTAGGTCCAATGAAAATCTGAAGCAAGGAATGTAAGAAGAAAGCAAAAGATTAAGATATAAAGAATATAAGATATCAATAACAGAATTCAAAACAATATCATTAAACTTATTCACAATTAAGTTTCAACATTCAAAAATTTAATGAGTGAGCTCTTTCTTCATATTTCTAACTTGTGGAGAGGTTGGTCTTGATAGAAGACCAGCTCCATCTAAGTAAGAAAAGACATGGACCACACCAATACAACCAATCCATAACTTGTTCCCCGGTCCTAGAGTCACCAATACAGGATTCCTCAAACTATCCTCCTCAGAAAGGATGTACCTCACGAACTCTCCGCTATGAGACAGAAGATGGATTTTATGGTTGTCTCCATCAGTGACTATGATTCGTCCAAACCTATCACAGCAGATACCCCGTGGGCGGAATGGATGAGAGTTGCTCTGGCCCTCGTACCGTCCAATCAGTTTGAAATCTTTGTTGAAGATCACCACTGCATGACCGTGTTGATCAGACACGCAAATGTTGCCATTGATGTTCACACAAATATATCGTGGTGCTGTGAACAACTTCTTGTCATCCACCTGGAAGCTCTCTACGCGTTGTAAAAGATCCCCTCTTTGGGAAAACTCCAGGAGACAGCTCTTCCATTCGTCATCAATTTTATCCACGGAGCTGCAGCAGACCAGGATGGTGTTTTCAGCAGTTCTGGTCATTCCTCTAGGAGCATAAGGAGTCTCAGCAAAATCAGATTCTTTATAATCTTTCCAAATCTTCAGTTTTCGATCTTTCTTTGACGCAATCAAAAATTCCTCTTGACCAAGGGGAATAATTCTGTATTTTGTGTATTCCCTAAAAGGGTAAGAGTCCACCTCTTTACCATGGCTGAATTTAGACAGATATGAGCCACCAGTATTGATGTAAGACATCCAGGCATCGGATTCAGACACTGGAATAATGCTGTTTTCCAGCAAGCTGATACGATCAAAAGAATAGTCCAGCTTAATCTTTTTGGCTTCAAATCCAATGGTACCGACAAAATTGGTCATGAAGGTCCTATTGTAAGTTCCAGCGTTGAAGATGAACTTCTTTTCGTCGATGCTTTTAGGAGCTGGTAAGTTGTTAACGATATTCTGAATTTCTTTAGTGACTTGAACAATTTTGACATCTTCTCCTAAATATTCCAGAACTGGCTCTGTTGTTCCTATGGATCTCTGAATAAAGTTTCGGTCTTCTCGAATGTCGTTGAGTTGTGGTACCATGCATTGTAATTCTGCCTGGAGCTTTCCTCGGACATAATTGACCGCGCCATCACACAATATATCCACGTACTTTTTCACTTCGTCTCGACGATGGTTGATGCATTCGATCGTATCGTTAGCATGGTTTTTGAAAGCAGCTTCAGCATTTTCAGCCTTGACAACCACTTCGTTCATACATGGCAAATATTGGCGCAAGATTTCCAGGAATTTGGACAGTCTTTCGCGATCACGAGCAGCCACATCAGCGATATCTTCAGTCTTATGATTTTCATGTTTCGCTAATTTGCAGTCGGCGCAAATGGGAATCTGGCAGACGCAGCAGTAGAATTTTAGGATGCTGTCAGTGTGCTTGCTACAGTAGCTTTGCTTCTCGATCTTGCCTTGACATTTGTCCATTAACACCGCGATATGATGTGATCGTGTTGCCACAGCAATTTTATGTTTTTCTTTGTCATCCTCACACAAGTTTTTTGAGCACTCAAAGCAATAACCGACAGCCACTTTTTTGTTCGATTTACAGAAATCACAAGTTAAGTCGCCAGATTCAACATTAATCATTTCTGGAAGAGATTGGGCAAGAATATAATAATTACTGGGCAGTCCTTTGGTGTCTCCATCTGGGACATCCACCACTTTCTGACATTTTGGACAATCGATGGTCTCTGATTCCGGATTCAGCATGTCTTTGACGTAATCTTCCAGACATTCCCGACAGAAAGTATGACAACATGGAAGCTGTTTGGGCTTCTTCATTATTTTCGAACAGAGTCCACAAGTTATTTCGGCTTTAGGTGAGTCTATAAACGGTTGTTCAGCCATTATGAAACTTCGAAACGTACTCTGAAATAAAAAACAAACAAAGTAGTAAGCTTGACTTATACTGCTGAGTGTGATAGGCTTCAGGGTTTCAGGGTTTAGTCGAAGAATTCAACCAACAAGACACCAGACAAAAGAAACTTAGCCCTATTGAGTTTTGATAATAGAATTACTATTATGGTTAACTATGGGTGTGTTCTTAATACATATCTAGATCTATATGAATGAATTGTCATGAATCACTATTCATAATTGTTATTCCATTTCCCTTCTCTATAGTTTGATCATAGTAACGAATTACAATATATAGTGTTAAATACCACAGCAGTAATCTGATTTATTACATATAGGCCTACTATTTTGTGGGCTTTCCAATGCCACTTACATAAAAAAAATTGATCGTTATGTTAGGCCTAATACAGCTTAAGACAACCTAGACTTTGCGATTAAAAATATGTCCTCCATTATAGAATGAAAATAAATGATGTTGAATTCCACAAGGGTATTTTAATTTGTTGCTATACTATTCTTTAAGCTTGGATACTGAAGAAAAGACATTGACACTGACTGACTGACTAACTGACTGACTGACTAACTGACTGACAGTTACTAGTCAATAGACATAGTACATAGTGGCTGTTGCATTTTTTCTCGAGCCTCTAACAGTTAAATTCAAGGAAAAACTGAGTAAAATGAAACAGAAACTTGACTTACCATCAGATAAATAGAAATATAATATCACAAATAAGAAATTCCCTTTTAGATTGACTCAATCTTGTATTATGTCATCAATATTTACGTTTTTAGTCGTGTTTTGATGACGACATATTGTTTTGTGGCCAGATAAAAACGGTATGGGTTATTTTGATTAACCTTCAACGCTTTTTTGTGAATTCTATTGAAATATTTAGAATCCTAATATGAAAATAAGTACTCCAGTCTAAAAGATTCTAGTTTTCATTGTTTTTACCAATAGATTCGACTATTTTTTTTTACATTTTACCCTGTGCCGTTCTGTACGAAGTTTTCTTACACTCTATATTGAATGGATGCAGCTAAACACTATCCTTCGAGGTAGAAATCACTAGAACTGGTCCCTGGAAAAATTAAACGTGGTCTGAAATTTTTAATTATTAAATGGAGTTCTTTCCCTTGGACCGTATTTCGAAACCCCGGAGAGCACTAGCGGCTATACACTGAGGTTAATAGCAGTAAAACTGGTCATAATCGTCTAAAATCTATTTTCTGGGTAAAACAAGCGTTTCAAAAAGAAAAATCTATAGACAGACAATAGAATGATTCATTTGGAAAGGATTTTATCCAGTTTTCACTCTAATTCAGCACTTAAATCAAGTCTAATAGTTATAATGGCATTTCAGGCAATGGTTTTGTTGGAAAGGTGCCCCATGAAAGGTGCTCCATGTCCCAGTTCTCCCTCAAAAAATAAATAAAATAGACAAGGGGCTTACTCTTAAGGGCAAGACAAGTCCCACATCCTCTTCAAAAAATTAATAAAATACACAGATATGCATAAAATATGTTTTATTATGAATAGTTGAATTTCAATAAGAAAGAGTCCAATATGTTTTAATATAAGCTTATTCTTCTCTAAAGTGAAGATATTAAAGTGATATAGCCGTCTAAATATTTACTTTATCACCTGATCAAGCTCAATTTTGGATATCCGTAAAGCTTTACTATTTGCCCTCACTTCCAAAGCAGATATAATATATGTACATAAGAACATTAAAGGAATACTACCTCGTAAAATAAACATAATATGTAGATTTTCAAACAAAAATTATGGATTTATTGGATAATCCAGGCCCCGTATTCTCGAAGCGATTTTAGCGCTAGGATGTCCTGGGTTCTTATCTTCTAATATTGATTCTAGGACATCCTAGCACTAAGATCGAGAATATGGGGCCAGGGGTTTTGTTGTATAATTATGACGCCAGGTAAGTCTAACAGATGAACATAAACTCTTTGGCCAAGTTTGAGAAATTAAATTCTATATCCATTCTAAGAGGTAGTATCTCTTTAACAGCAAAGTCAGTATTTTATCACAAAGTGTTTAAGTAGAATTGTAGGAAGTCTGTTTTGAAAAGGGATACAGATAACTGAAATTGAGCTATATCAAGCTGGTAGGCAAATATTTCGATGACAATATCCCTTCAAGTACTATATATTATTATATACAATATAAACTACTAAATACAACAACCGGGTTCTAAAGCACTAATATAAATTCCACCGGCTAACAATAGTTAGGCTTTAGTTGGACAAAAATACGCTTGCACATCCAGGAATGATCCAAAACTTAACTGGAGCAGTCTACTTTATGTTTTAGGTAGTATAAGTAGTAATATACACAACATCAGTCTTGCGTGTATCCTACGAATTACTACTTATTCTAACTCAAAACACAAAGAGTCCACTTTATTTTCAGGTAGTTTAAGTAGTCATAAACACAATATAAGTCCAGCTTGTATTGATTAATAACTATTTATTCTACCCTAAACAAGAAAATGGGCTGATCCTGTTTAAGAACACCCCTTGCGCTCGCATGTGCAAATATATGGAATATATAATTCTAATATTAATACAAAAAATACTAGGTATTTAAATGCTTAATGCATTCGAAGTAAAATATATCTAGGCCCTATATATCCATAAAATATTAATTCACCTTGCTTAAATGCTCATTAAATATTATTAAACATTTTTAATCAATACTGATATAAAACAACACATATTGCTGTGTTCTCAATTGAAAAAAAAAGATAGCAGCTTCTGCATTTATAGTTTGAAAGAAAATGAATTTAAGAGTAAGGAATTGGGCATAAAATATGAGGAAATTATTAAAAAAGAATCATATGTTCAGTCAATTTGAACATCATTACATAATAAATATGTTCTTAATTGATTTGACAATAGGAATTCAGAAAAATTTCTAAAGTATGAATGATATTGTAGAGTCAGAAATGGGCTTAAAAGATTTAAAAGAATTATGAAAAAAAAGAACATCATTATGTTCACTCAATATAAAATGAACATCATCAGATTATTTATAAAAATGTTCACAACAATTTAAATAAATGGAATTTTCTTTTTGCTTTTTTGGCAAATTTTGACGTTGAAATGGTTGCTTGAATAAGGAATGCATAACATAAATCCAAATACAAATGGTAAAATAAGACAACACGTAAGTTTCAAAGGCAAAATAAAAATATTTTTGGATAAATACTTGCAAGGGTAGGGAAGACTTATTTACATTTTGGCATCAAAAAGTCAGCATTGCCTATAAGTCTTGGAAATGAAAAAAATAACTCATTTGGGACGAAAACAACAAAACAAATTCACAACAAAAGGACTACATATTTGGACAATATAAAAGATATTGGAAGGAGGTTTTCTAGACTTTGTATGTGTATTGGGGACACTTATAGCTTCAATTTGCACCATTCCACATTCATATCTAGTGTCGGTGGTTTCTGTAATTCCATAAAAAATGACCAACACACATACAAATTACATAAGCCTCTTTTGAATACCTTTATTGCACATTCAAAGATATTTTTCAAAACAAACAGTCTACTTGATTTTTAGGTAGAATAAGTGGTCATGGCTGTAATAAGTGTAGAACTTTAATAGTGTCAATTCACTTATTCTCCCCTTGAAAAATAGTAAACTATTCTTGATCAGAAACAACCTTGTACATGCATTCAACAAGCTAGCACAACACTACACAAGCACTAAACTGCACATCTATATGCCATGGATATTAATTGTTCCTGTAACTCTCCAATTTTTTGACAGATGTTATCCAGGTAGAGGCAGAAAAACGATCTTAACATTAGCAGAGTACTCTTCTTTAAAAAGCAAATCAATTATATGTGACCATAAAAATTTTAATTTGAGACGTGTTCTTTTGATAGCTATTTTGATAGATGTTATCCGGATGTAGTCAGAGAAACAATTTTGCTCTTCAAACAAGCTGACTTTAATTTTGACGATAGTTCATAGAGTCATACAGACTGCAAAAAATATCCATGACATATACGCACATATTTGGACACAAACTTGAGCAAAAATAAAACATAAAAGATAAATAGATATCTATAAAGCAACATAGAAAAAAAATAACAAAAAAGCTGAATACAACAAAAACAATTTGTTGTAAATTTTTAATATTAACTGTCACAAAATTATCAATATGATCAAAATTTTAATGAAAATATTTGTAAGATTTTTTGATTAAAAATGATAACGAAATTGCATTTGTTACATTTTGAAATACAGTACTACTAAACGAAGAAGTCAAAATGAAAGAAGATTCTATATTTGACTAGATAGACAGTATACACCTTGTATGAACTTGTATATTGTGATAAGGGATACGCTTGGAATAGGAATTTATATTGTTTGCGATATGGAATGAAAATAGACAGAAAAGAAAGAAGTGTACCATTTTTACAAGGTTCTCGAGAACCCTTTCTACCAGCTGGTCCAAAACCTTCAAGACTCTTCAAGGATTACAATAAACTTTCCTAGAAGACTTTAATGAATACATTTGTATAAGAGTCACATTTAACCGGTATCAAAAAATCACCAAGATATCAGTACAACTTGTCATCTATGATCTGTTCAAATTCTTCTATAAATCATTGACCCAATACCATTTCAATGTATGAACAGTGTTGAACAGAGCATTATTGGTTGAATATTTAAATGACCTAGAACACATCTTACATAACAATTTTGTCAGATCATAGATCGCTTGTATATCAACCCACAGAAAACACAAAATGAAGCATCTAGATCCAAGTTCTGTTTTACAGAAAATAAAAGTTTTTTTTATAAATTTCCATCGAAAATTGTTACACATTTCATTGAGTTTGGGTTGTGAACATGTGACCCCAGTTGTAGAGTGACATCAGGTGAAAGAAAACATGATTGTGATATGGAATGATATGATGAAAATATATTCAAAAACTTAACAAAGTATACAAAATTTCATAAAGAGAAAATATTCGCCTCAATATAGCTTGCAGCTGTTAAATGCATCAGCTGTTAAATTAAGAATTAAACCACTATATCTTTAAAGTTCTATCAGCTGTTAAAACTAAGAATTAGTAAACTATATGCCTTTAGGTTCTATCAGCTGGTAAAACTAAATAAACCACTCAATGCCAGTAAGTTCCATCAGCTCGTGAAACTAAGAATTAGTAAACTATATGCCTTTAGGTTCTATCGGCTGGTAAAATTAAATAAACCACTCAATGCCTATAAGTTCCATCAGCTGGTAAAACTAAGAATCAGTAAAGTTTCTCTCCACTTAAAAGAGAAAATGTCTCCTTTTTCAGACTTTTTAAACCTAAAAAAATCTTTCCACTTTTAGACCTTTATAATAAAATTACCTACATTGCACACTGTATGGCATTGCCAAGCCAACCTTCATTAGCAGAGTCTGGCAACACATAGCACCCAAATACACTCATTTTATTTGTCCCCATAACTATAAAAATACTAGCTTTTGCTTGGTTTTTTTTTTTGGGTGAAAAAATTTTCACAATCACATTTGCAATACTTGTTTTATGGCATTAAATGCTATCCATAAAATTGTCATCAAAAGTTTGTATGTTTGGCATTTTCGGCTGTCCACATATTAGAAAAGGACATGCTATCCAGACTGTTGAGGAAGGAATCATTGTCTAAGGAAATCATTTCATCTGGATAATCCTGTCAAAAATAAAAATAAAAATTTCAGTAAAGAATATCTTGATCAGCCTTTCTGTTGTGGGCTCTGATTGGCTGTATTTGCTGGTGTACAATCCAATCAAATCACTACATTCCATGATACAAGAATGGTGGCTATTGCAGTTAAGGTATAAGTATACAGTTCGTAATAGCTTGACATTGTGAAGATGGGATTAAAAAGAGAAAATAATTTACAAAAGCAAGTGTTAGGTAAGGCTCCGACACCTTTGATAAATCAAGAATACCTACCCTTGGCAGATCTATATGACCATTAATATAACTCAGTGTCACATTATCTTCCCAATAAGTAGACAGGTCAGCCTTGGACCCTGACAATCTTTGTTTCTTTTTAGCACAGCACACTCCGATTATAACGGCTAAAAAATTGAAAAAAAAAAATAATGAACAAGGCTAGCATATGAAAACTGTCGCTGTAAAAAATACACAGGTAGTATGTAATCTATTTGACTGTGTTTGGAATCAGAGACTATGATTGGCTGTAATCACTGCAAGTACTTTTGCTAGAAAAAAGAAAGGTGGCTAATGCAGTCAAGGTATTAGTCACAGTTCGTAATAGCTTGACATTGTGAAGATAACTGACTTACCAAGTATTAAAACGAAAGCAGCAGATCCACATGCAATTCCAATAATTTCTTGAGTTGTTAACCTTCGATCATTAACGCCTGTATATTCCTTACAGTCTGTGATATTATCTATATCACTGCAAGACACATTGGCGCCATCCACTACAAGCGCTGATGTTGGCGTTATGTTAGGAGTCACTGTATTTTTGACACTTGTCTTTGGTATGGGCGACGTTGAACTGGAGAGATTCGCAGTGGATTGAAGATTCTCACTCACAGAAGTTGCAGAGATGGAATGAGATGCAGAGGGAATGACAGAGGTTGTAAAATAAGCAGAGATGGTCGATTGAAAATCTGGCGTTTTTGAAAGAGGAATGGTAGTTGTTGATTGGATGGTTGTCATTGATGATGCAATTTGATTGGTTGATAAGGTTTCTCCTAGAACCAACAGAATTGAAGAAAGTATACAGATTGCTACGTCCTTTGCATCTGAAAAACAAAAAAAATATTACGCAATGAAAATGCTCATGAAATCATAAAATAAAAAATCATGACTATTATAAAAAGTAAAATAAATAATAAGCAAATAAAATGAAACATGAAAAAAAAAGACTTACTTTTACACCTCAAGGCTTCCATTGTACATTAGATTTCTTCATAGGATTAAAAACCCACTACATTGTGATAAGATTGCCCTAAAACAAAAGATCAAAATATCTGATAAAATTAACAACCTCAAATATACATGTAACCTACTTAGTATTCTATCCTAAGGTTATAGTTTGTCAATTCAAATTTTACCATGATCGTAAATTGTCATGCTTTCCTGACCATGAATATATATTAACAGATCAACTGACAGAGGGACATGGCCTGACAAATAGAAAAATGTCTAATTATGTAACATAGTTTAAACTAACAATGTAAATGGTTTAACATGACATCTTATTTGGAGTCAGAAAGAACTTGAAATGAGTTCTAGTCTTTTCAAACCCTGCCCTAAGTAAAAGTGTCAGCTAGATTTGGAAGGAATTAGCCTACGATGCTCCAATGGCAAAGTTAATTTTTCAAATAGAATGAAACAGGCTACCCAACAAATTGAAGGGCTTCTAAATCTCATATATTTTAAGCATCATATTACCATTTCAGTCCAGTTCATGATTTGTGTGTTTACTAAAGACAAGGAAGCCATAAATTTTTACTTTGAAGGAGCTGTCACCTGTCAAAAATTGTACGATGAGTCATAAGATGGGGGTCGCAGGAATTTCAGGAAAAGGAAACAAAAAAGAAACCATTAGAGCTTGGCTCCATTTCATAAAATCAATGTTGAAATAAAAAGCCAAATCAAAAGAGGATATCTTACCTGAATGCTGAACTCATTTTTAAATATCTAAATCCACTCTGTATGATTTATAATGTAATTCTTTCAAAATGTAAACAAAGTCATTTATTTTTAACGGCCATCTTTGCTTAGAGTTCAAGGTCATCGAAATGAATTCGGCAAAAATGATGCACCCTTTCTTAATTTTATTCAAAAAAAGAAAAATGTCCATTCTTTATACTTTTATATGAGGCTTAAAGCATTTAGAAAATTTTTTGAACAAAATAATGAGTTTTTAAACTTATTTTTCTCTATCAAAAATGCTGTGCATCACAGATATTAAAATACGTAGCTCTGTGTGAACAAATCGTTAAACGTCTTGTTATTCGAGTCATCCACAACTTTGGCCTTTAATTTTTTAAAATTTCAGCAACTTCGAGATGAATTGAAAATTGTTCTATTTAAATTGAATAGAAAACTTAATAAAAATTTCAAATCTGTCCCAAATCAGCATCTCAAAACACAGAGAATTCAATAGTCTCAATTTACCAGCCTTTTTGAGTAGTGAGCAAACCAAGGCTCCCGTATCTTGCGAATCAAGTTTACGTAAAGCTAGGAAGGTCGTGTCTGTTACAAAACACAAAAACAGACAGATCCTTCATTTATGCCAAGATGGCCAGCTTGAAACGGATAAATCCACTGATTTTAGCAAATCTAGGTAACATTTTGTGAGATATTTGAAGCAGAAAGTAATTTGCTCGGCTTGGAGACCCCTGTCACAAGTTAAACGTCAGTCAAAAGAGTGCATTTGACTTAAAATATTTCTGTTTGTTGTTTACAATTTACTGCCAATCATTGCAAACAAAATATGTTGTAGGCCTATCCTAATATTAATACTAATTCATCCATTAGGGTGGCACCCAAGAGCCTAAGAGAGATACAGGGAATGGGAGATACAGAGGGAAGAGCACCTTAGCCCTTGGGCTTGTGCTCTGAAAATTCTAAAAGCTACCCTAAACATCTTGAAACATTTGATTTCTCTTGACTCTTAGATAACAATTCAACGATTTCCTTGCAGGGAAATGCTCAAGATCTGTTACACCTTTGACAGTAGCTGTCAGAAACACTTCAACTGAGGCCAAGCCAGAAAAGGTAAGCTTATTATGGGTAGGCTACTGAGCTTATTAGAAAAACTACAGACTTTGACTGGAATTTTATTGGTTTAACTTGAAGAAATAGAATAAGTGTCCCTGATATGCGTTGGATAGATTATTTTTATGTCTTTTAAATCAGAACATATTATTTTTGCAGACAAAGTATGGGCCAATGAAAGATGAAGATAGAATGTTTTTAAATCTTTTTGGAAGACATGATTGGAGATTGAAAGGTTCCATGGCATTGGTAAGATATTCTTTGTTGTTTGGCTTGACATAGGTCACCAAAAGTTCATCTCCAAGCATACGTGATCCTTTGATGGAAATCGAAAAAGAGCAGACACATTTTGGTAAGTTCAAACTATATTTTTCACTGTCTTTCGTTTTATTTAATTTTCACGCTTTATGTTTCTAGGGTAACTGGTATAAAACCAAAGAGATCTTATTAAAAGGTCCAGAATGGATTTTAAAAGAGATCTCTGCTTCTGGTTTGAGGGGTCGAGGTGGAGCTGGCTTCCCTACTGGAATGAAATGGGGATTCATGAACAAACCCTCAGATGGAAGGTAGGTTTAATGAATAATTGATATCTGGCTCTCCTGCAATTCAACAAAAATCCACAGCTTTGGACACAAAGTATATTATGAAAATTTGCTAAAGATAGCAGAAATAGAGACCTATCACTTGGAATGCAACCTGCAATACAATATCATGAGTTTTGTTTATCCAGACCTCCAATGATTATACTCTCTGTTTTCCAGACCTAAGTATCTGGTAGTGAATGCCGATGAAGGGGAACCTGGTACCTGTAAGGACAGGGAAATTATGAGACATGACCCACATATGTTGGTGGAAGGTTGTTTGGTGGCTGGTCGAGCTATGGGAGCTAGAGCAGGTAAGGTTTGATCTTTATTTGAGGCCAAATGTGGAGGACTTCCAGCCTCAAGCCCCCATCCCATTTTAAAGTTTATTCTTTGGTCTTTAGACTTGTCCAACAATAAAGCCTGACAGTATCTCTAAATTCTAAATTGTATTTTCAGCTTATATTTACATCAGAGGAGAGTTTTACAATGAAGCGTCCAATCTACAGATAGCTATAAATGAGGTAACTATGCTTCTTAAATTCTTCTTTGAGCCTGGTAGCATTTCAACCCTGTTTCCTCTTTCAGTGATGCTGGTCTAAGACAGAGGGGCCAGAGCTAATGACAAGCAGCAATGAAAATCTCACGTCCCCAAGTTCTTGCTAAATTTGATGAGTATTCTGTATTTTTCAGGCCTATAAAGCTGGTTTTATTGGTAACAATGCTTGTGGATCTGGGTACGATTTCGACGTGTATGTTCATCGAGGAGCTGGGGCTTACATCTGTGGAGAAGAGACGGTAAGGACTGCTTTAACTTACAGATATTTCACCTTAGTCTAAACCTTGTAATAAGATAATATTGGGCTAACCTTGGGCTAACCATGGACCTTTGAATTCTTGTGTTCAGCTTTTTTACTTTGTATTTCAGGCCCTGATTGAATCCCTAGAAGGTAAACAAGGAAAACCCAGACTCAAACCACCATTCCCTGCTGATGTTGGTGTATTTGGTTGCCCAACAACAGTTGCTAATGTAGAAACAGTAGCTGTAGCACCAGTAAGTTTGTATATTTGTTTCCAGTGACCGGTTAAGACATAAGAGACAAGTAAGGAACTTACTGAACATGTGTGAGAAATCAACAAGAACAATATTCTCCAGTATGTAGACTAACTATAGTGTAGAATCATTAACAAGTCTCCTTTTCTTTTTAGGGAATCTGTCGAAGAGGAGGTGAATGGTTTGCTTCGTTCGGTAGAGAAAGAAACAGGGGAAACAAGGTAGATTAACTAAGCTTAAATATAAAGACCATGGTGAATGGGGCACTTTCTGGTATCTTTTACTTTTTTTGTAGTACCCCTAAAGCACGAGGTACTAGCAGCACATCATAATTAATCCATGCTTTGTGACCTCAGTCAGTGCTTTCTGGAATCTGTATACTCATTACACATGAATTGAGCTCTTTATGGCTGCAATCAAGTGTCCATTTTGACCAAATACTGGCGCTTCCTTTTTCAGTTGTTCAATATCTCAGGACAAGTAAACAATCCAACCACAGTAGAAGAAGAGATGTCCATCCCATTGAAAGAACTGATAGAGCGCCATGCTGGTGGTGTGATTGGTGGGTGGGACAATCTCCTGTGTGTCATACCAGGGGGTTCATCTACTCCTATCATACCTAGAAGGTAAGTCTCTTGCTGGTGATGAACCTCAAGATCTAAGCTTGGTTCACTTTCCAGTGTATCTTTGTTAGTGAGGCCTTCTGGAGGGGCTGAGATGAAACGAGCATCAGTAGGTACAAGTCCGTTGTTGTTGCTGATCTTTGAGAACTAGGCTTGGTTTACATCCCACAATTGAGGCCAACCAGTGCAGCTGACATGGAGAAAACATCCAAAACTAAGAATTGTTGCCATTGTATTTCAGCGTCTGTGATGATGTTCTCATGGATTTCGATGCTTTGATCCAAGCTCAGACAGGTCTTGGTACAGCTGCCATCATTGTCATGAATAAACAATCAGATGTCATCCGATGTATAGCCAGATTGATTGACTTCTATAAGCATGAATCATGTGGCCAGGTTGGTATAGACTCCTCCCATTTAGCTTTAAGCTCCTCCCATGGAATAGATGCTCTGTCGGTATAACCACTAACTCCTCCCTCTTGTGTCAGAAGATGATGGAGATGCCACTGTTCATGTGTATTCCCTTCTCCCCAGGTTTAAGAGGGTAACTTTGGAAATGTTTTCTTTACAGTGTACCCCATGTCGAGAGGGATGTGGCTGGATGAAGAAGGTTATGGACAGATTCGTGACTGGTGATGCTGAAGAAAGAGAAATTGATATGTTGTATGAATTGACGAAGCAGATTGAGGGACACACCATCTGTGCTCTGGGAGATGGTGCAGCATGGCCTGTTCAGGTAGGTTGGATTTTGAATGAAGACTTCTGAAAAATGTAGGGCTGGTGGTGGAAGAAGCCAATTCTTTTACAAGGATAACAACTTGATTCATGAAGATCCTTTTTACCAGTTTATATGTAGTCAAACCTCTTGGGTAATAATTTTACAAGGATAACAACTAAGTTCCTCAAGTATCCTGTCAACCAGCTGGTCCTTGGCCAGACCTCTTAGCTTTGTAACCTCATCTCCTTTTGTTTCTCCATTTCAGGGCTTGATCAGACATTTTAGACCAGTTATTGTCGAAAGAATGAAACAATTCGAACAGAGCCAAGCCAGAACTGCTAAAATGTGAACCTTGAATTTGGAAATGGATAACACCAACACTGAAAAGAAAAACTGAACTTTCAATTGTTATTTATTTAGTGTTTTGTATATAAAGTGAATTAATGACTCTTATGCATTATAATAAGTTCACCTCGCCCAGTGCATTTGTGACTTGAATTAGGCCATTTTTAAGTTCTCATTGCATTAGAAACTCAATTGCATTTTGGAACATTAAAACAGTTTTAAAGCCAGTTCGAGGCTGTGTTGGGTGATAAATTTAACAGTTGAAAAATCGAGTGTAGAAAATGATAACTAAAATTGTTAAAATTCAAATCGCCTTTTTTTTTTCCATTCCTCTTTGAACATTCCTAAATCTGGAAGTGTTAATGGACAGATTGTCTAGCATGGATGCACAAGAAGCAAATGAAATGGAGGGTGCCTCCTACTTTTCTGCACCTTATGGGCTAATGAAGACCTGCAACGCCATGCAGGGAGCAAAATTTGCACGGACAAAGGCAATAGCTTGCTCTTTTTTCCGTCTATCTTTACTGGCCTGAACAATGCTAGATGAACGAGGGCCACGATTATCTGTTTACACATATCTTCAGGGGAACATAAAAACAAGCTTCTTAGTTTGATTAATGGGTATATTTACATGTTATAAACTTAAAAATTTACATTATAAACTACATTATTAATGGAGGACAAAATTTACATAAAACAAAAAATTGATGGAAAATTAGTTGCATGATGATGATGGGGTCTTTCATGGATACACTTTTCATATTTAGGTGGCTAAGCCATTGGGAATCTAAGTGGTACTTTCAATTTTCTCCAACAAACTCCATAATCGTCTAACACAGGCTCTTATCCAAACTTGCTCGGGACCATTTCCCTTTTTCAGCTTTCACATCCTAAGAGCAATCATTTAACCCTAATCACATCCCCAAATAATGGACATTGAAAACATCAAATATAAATTCATCTTGTACAACAGTTGGCCACACAGCCGACACCCCAGTCCCAGTAGGGAACCAGGGCTCCTGATAAAACATCACACCCCATATTGACCACACCCTCATGACCATTCATTTGATCATTCCATACCAAGCTTACCACAATCCAAAGCTTACCACAATCCAAAGGATCATTGTCCTATCTTTAGCTGTCACATGATTTTAATTTCATATCACATGACAGTCATGTGACTTGATGGGCTATGTACAATGTGATAAAATCAGCACTATGATTGGTTAAAATATGTCGGTGTCATCAGGAGCATCTAGGTCTCGGTACTCAATGATGGCGCGTGGATCAGATCTGCGACTGCAATAAAAAAAAATTCCGAACATTTCAAACTTAAAATGTTCAAAAAAAAAAAAAAACTAGACATCATCATTTGTTGCCAAGATTTTCACGCCTTTTTTGTTTTGAATGAAAATTACCTGGTCTCGATGATGGAGCTCATCTCATGCTGTTGAATGTTGCCACATTCTCACCAGAACAGCTCTACAATATCTGGCATGAGTGTTCTGTTCTGTGGAAGAGTTTCTAATTACGAAAGAGAGTTCCTCAAGATTCCTCAAGATTCAAGTTCAGCCATGCTTTATTCCAAAAGGCCTACCGTGAAAGTTACGCTAGCGCTCTGCAACAGATTCAGCTTTACAGAAAAACTGCTGAGGATTGCCGAATGGCTTTATTCATCTCTACCAGGCAATCTCACTTCCTGTCACATGACAGCAAGGGCAAGCAACTCTCTAACTCTGACTAGAACTAATCCAAACCACATCATGACAGTACATGCAAGCACTTGTTGGCGTTATGTTATCAGTAGGTTTACCTGAAGTTATAATTAGTACCTGTATGGTCTACTATTATTAGAGTAGCTTCCTCCACTTCTTCTGAAGTTATCGCCCCGGTTCTGATACCCTCCATCACGTCCACCAGAGTTACCATAGCCACCAGAGTTATAGTGAGGTCCACCACCTGAAAGAAATTTAAATTCAATCGTGGAGTATTACACCCTACTTGGCCAATCCTTTAGCTGAACCTCATTAGGCTAATGAAAAGGATTCTTTTATCTAACTTTCCGAACCTCATTGGACTAATGAAATTGAGTTTTATATAGACTTTAGAATGATGGCATCTTGCTTACCACTTGCTCCAACATACATGACCGATCTGGATTGTAACACCATGCAGTGTGCAATGAGAGAAATATCAACCTACCTCCATACATATTGTGTTGTCTTTGATTGAATCCACCACCTCCCATCATGCCATGTTGGTTGTTATGGTAACCAGAGCCTTGGTCACCACGGTTACTGCTTGGCTTATTACCAGGATGTTCTGGAAGCTGGGGTCTTTTAGGATCCAGTAAGTAATTATTGAAGAATGAAACCTAGAAGATGGAACGACAAAATTTGGTGCTGGATTTTGTTTTATAGAATTTATATGGCTCAAATTTGGACAGCTAGCGATCATTAATTCGGAGGCTATGATTGGCTGTATTCAGTAGTGTACATTCCAATCAAATGGCTGCATTTTTTGTACCTTAGTTAGGCTCTGAACTGTGGTCAAAATACTGCACGTTGATGGACTTTGATTCTAAATTTGAGGATTTGACTTACCTCTTGTTTCACCTCTTCAACTTTCTCATTGTGTTTGGTCAAAATATGTTTACGGATAAATTCTGGACCTTTAAACTTCTTGCCACTCAGTGGACATAGCCATTTATCTTTGGATTGTTCTTGACAATTGGCCAGAATGAACTTCTCCACTTCAGTATAGTTTAGTTAAGGAAAACAAAAACGATCCGAACCGCAAAACAAAACATGCAATCCAAACCCACTGTAAAATCATTGATAATGAACATCTCACATGAGGAAGTATATCAATCATAAGTGATAAAGATTAGAGAAAGGATATGCATTAGGATCTTTCTTTCCAAGATTGACAGCTTCATCATCATCAACTTTAGTCTTCATCTTCGCCAAGTAGTTGATTTTAGATTCAAAATGGCTGATCCACTCAGTTACTGGAATTAAATGAAATGAAATGGAGTTTTACATCCTCCTTATCGGCACCTGATTGAGCTAATCAGAACAGGCAACGCCATGCAGTGTGCAATAACTTTACAGCATCGTTAGCCTACTCCTTTCAATTCCCAACCGTCGCAGAGGCACACAAGGCCTTGGTTTATTTTCCCTAGCGTTAGACTTGTTGCTTTTATAAAAAGAAATTCCTGCGACCTACCATCTTGGTCTGTACATTTGCCAACTGGTATAGACAATCTTCCATGCATGATTCCACAGCGGTGAGGCATCTCATCTTCATTTGGGTACTCGTTGGCGCTGTAGAAATCTATAGAATGAACTATTCTCAGATATAGAATCATCTTATCCAGCGCCTACAATATCAGAAATTAACCAAATTAGATTAACAATAACAAAAACCTAAATTTGCCAATACACAGAGTACTAGGTAGGTTCCCAAGCTGAAAATGTGGCATCAGGTTTTCCAGACGGTTTCAATGAAACCAATCATGAGCAATCAAAAAGCAGTGCAAGACTTACCTTAATCAAAGTTTCATCTTTCTCGATCTGAATTTCAGGGTTGGCTTCTTTTGGTCCATCATCTTGATTCTGGCCTGAAAAGATGTTGTTACTATTATGATCATCAGGGGCAATAACTCAGTCCTGGAGAATTGTCTTTAGCATCCTTACCAAGGATGCTGTTTATTCACATGTACAATAAGTATAAATTTGAGGGTGGCTGTAGCTGGTCTATTACGGCAACCTGTATCTTTACACAATGTCATTTTCAGAAAAAAAATACTTACCCAACAGTTCTTCCTCTTCAAATGAACCTTCCTCTACCAGGTAATCTGTGATGTTTTTTAACACAGGGTTCTTGGACAACATCAAGTTCGTTTCAACCTGAAACACAAATAAATGATTTTTTTCAACCCTGGACCGTCAGGTTAGCAAGAGAGCGTCTATCTCACTGCACCACTGGGGCTCCCCAAATACACTAAAATCCTCTAAGCATATCTCTTACTCTTACCTCTTTTTCATCGTCCTTTTTCTCTATATTAGAGTCCTGCCATAGTCCCCATTTAAAATCAAGGTTCTGGATAATCCGAGCTGCAGTCTGGATGTCCTTTCTAACCACTGGTTTGTGATTGGTCAATACAGTTACAGGACGCACTCGTTGTTTGAGGTCACGGTTTAAAGTGGCACCCAACTCACAATCCCGGAGCTGAAAGTAACATTTCAAAAAATTAGTATACAACACGCCACTCTGCACATAGGTTTGTCAACTTTGTCAACCTTTGTTCTGTTTTCTATTAGCTTTTATTTTAAATACAGCCACATAATTTGGGGTCTAATGACAGCTCCTTTGCAAGTTTGTCAAATTAACCTTTTGACCTAACTAGATGACGTCTGCTTTAACAAATCATATTTCTACAGCTCTGGAGTTTTATGAATGATAATGTGTCTTACCCGAATGTTGCTCAAGTTGTAACAGATATCTTTGATGTTAACTCCAGATTCAAATGTCACCCAGCCTCTTCGGAAAAACCTTCTTTCTGGTTGTGGATCCTGTAAAGCTACCCTCATAAAGCCTGGATACCGCTTGCACATCTGAAATAAATCAATTGTTGGTCATTTGTTTTTTACAGAGTAGTAATACAGAAATTATTTCAGTCAAAAAATCCAAAATGGCAGCCCCCATAATGTTGCTAAGGAATACTCACTGCCTCTATTTCCTGTTTAGTGATAGTTGGTGCAAGATTACGTAAGAATATAGACTGTGTTTTATGAAGACATCGTGGTTTGGGTTCTTCATCTTCCACTTTCTTGTCCTCTTCCTGGACCTCTGCTTTCGTGTCGACTTCTTTTTCTTCACCTAGAACATTGAAGATCAGAAAATAATTATGGTTCAACTTGATGTCTTATTTGAACGGCTGAAATATATCGATAAATAGATCAACAAGTGAGTAGGTACCTTCATTCTTTTCTTCCTTGTTGTCACCATTAGATTCTGGAGGAACAGGAGATTTGACAGGTTCAACTTCAGCAGCTTTAGCTGGTTCTTCTTCACTGACTCCAGGTGGTGCTGGTTCTGACTCGGAATCAGACCCAGAGATAGAGTCCGACTCGCTGCCACTCTGGTAACTATAGTCTGGTTTGTCTCGATGTCGCTTACTTCTTTTCTTTTTGCGCTCTTCAGCCTACAAATGAAAGGAGGTGTAAAAGGTTTTATTTCTTGATTGAACCCCTTGCAGTGCTCAATGAGTAAACTTTCAAAAACTTTCAAGTTTGTATAGTAGACCCAATATTAACGGATTAGTTAAGGACGAGCAAAATTTAATCTTCCATACCTTTTGCTGTTTTGCCATTTCTTCTTGTTGCTTGGAAAATTCTTGAGCCTTTTTCTGAAGTTCTTCTTGCTCTGGGGTGATGTCAATTTTCATAGGCTACAAAAACAGAGCGAAATTTGAAAAAGTGATCCACCGTCCATTAAGTTTGGTATTTTGTTAAGATAACATTCGTCAGTTCTTCCAACCTCAGATTGAAAAAGATCATCTACTCACCTCTTCTTTTGACTCTTCTGTTTTCTTTTCAGGGCTACAAGAAAAAAAATAAATTGGAGTTTTAAACACAAGAGATGCAGATTACAGTATAAACACATCAAAATAAGAGTTTTAAGGTGAGTCAAATGAATGGAGTTTTACACCCAACAGTTCCGCTCCTTGATAAAATTAGAGCTAGCAAAGATCCACCAGATGTCTTTTAATAAATTTACATACCTGGATTTTTCAACCACTGTTTCCGAGTTGTTTCGACTTCGATTTCCGGCTTTATCATCCATCTGATCCAGGACAGTCAAATCAAAATCAGTTCCACCCTCCATCTTGATCACGGCTGAAAATATATCACAGACATTGATGTATATCTACTGGAGTTTTACATCCAAATTTCTGCTTCAGAAATACTATTTGGTACATAAGGGATGAGAGACGACACCATTCCGACTTTCAGAAGCACTGGAACGGGCATTAGAATTGAAAATGAATGAAAACATACCTGCATCTAAAAGTTTGACAATTTCATCTCCTCTGTCTATTTCCAGCACGATGGGAGAGACACGTCCAGCATCTAGAAGCTCGACAAAAACTTTCAGACGTCTTTCCAGGGCGGCCTTCAATTCACCTTTACGTTTACCACTCTCTTCAGGGTGATATTTCAATTTAAACCTATAGATTGACAAGGAAGAGAGGAAAAGAAAACATGGTGTTAAAAACGATTCTTGGAATGATTTTCAGAAGTGTGGGAGCAGCCATTTTGGGAGCTCTGCAGCAAATAAATAATAAGGCAGATTGGAATGAGTTTCGACATTGCTCAAAATTTTGAAAAATAGAATAAAAAAAGTTTGAAATTTTGATAATTCAAAAACAATTTTGAAAAAATTAAGATGATATGAGAAAGGGCACAAAAATGGGGGCAACTAAGAGCTAAAGACCAATAGAGAAGCACAAAAGATGGTGACCATTTCCCATAATTTCAGATACACTTTTTACCTGGTTTCTGGTTCTAAAATCCTCACCTATTTTAAGCATATTTTCATCCAATTTCCAAGAAGTGATTCACGCGCAGAGCCCTAACTAGAACAGACCTAACACTTTATGAATGAAACACACTGCATTGTGCGCAGTGACCTAACAAAGAGAGAAGTCTCGCAGTAAATAAATCCTGGCTGCTCATTGGTTGGTTCTGCTGAAAATCTATCCTGATTGGATAAAAATATTATTTTAAGCATTGCAAAAAAAAAAGCATATATAATATGTCATTTCAAACAATTTCGTTTTGTACCAATTCCATCTCATAAATTGTTTTTTTTTTCTCAGAAAAATAGTTTCATTCATTGTTTCAAATAGTTGAAATTGTGAAGAATGACAAATTTTGCAATATTTCTTTAAATATTGACACATTGATAAATCAAATTAAATTCATAATGCACAATAAAAAATTAACTTGCAAAAATGCAAGCCCAAACACTTCCCTTTCTGAATCCAACCCCAAAATTTGTATGTACAAATTTATCAAGTACACCCCTTCTCAATTAAATGTATCATAAACACCTCCCCTCAACTCCCCACCCAAAACAATGTTCACCCTTTCTTACCCCAAATATCATTTACACCCCCTTTCTCACCCAAATATATCATATTACCCCTTCCCCACCCCAAACATATCATGTACACTCCTTCACGCTTAAAAATATCCTGCATGCAAATTCCTTAAAAGTCTTTGAAACTTACCATTCCTCTTCTTTGTGTGCCAGGAAAAATTCACTGATCTGTTGGCGCTTATACTCTATTTTATATTCATTGTATTTCTTACTAGCAGCGTGATCATCTATATTATCATCTTGTGTCGTTAAAAATTGTTTAAACGTCATCATGGCTGGCTGAGTAGGAAAATCATCCCTGAAGTTCAAATGATTTAGCACCATTATAATTGTTAAACAAATGTCTGTGGTTCCTGCAATTCTACTAAAACTAAGTGTTAGATGACATCACTATCCCAAAATATTTTATTATATAGGACCCAGAACTTAAACGTCTGTTTTACTGACCTGTTCTGATTACCATATCCATGATGTCCTCCCATCTCTCCAGGACTGGGACCCCCTCCACTCCAGTGACTCTGGTGTGGGGCCGGACCATTATAAGGGGTTTCATATGATGGGTAGTCGTCCCTGTTATAACGTAAAGAAATAAAAAATCTGGTTACAAATGGTCGAAGAATAATCTAAAAAAAAAATCTAGCATAGCCAATGATAAAATGATGGATCTTAATGAAACCTAGTTTGCAAGGTAGCTTCATGATCTGAAAAGAAAAAGAAACCTAACTTTGTGAATGATCTTTTAGTTTAACGAATAACATTTGAAAGGGACCCTTTTTTTTATCGTTCGGTCTGGTTTTGTACTGCTGGGTAATGCTGTACAGTGTGCGATGAGGAAAACTGAATTGCCAACATAAGCTTACTCTATTCATTAACCTTAACATTACCATCACAACATTGACTTCTAAATGGATTTCAAATTTCAAAAAGATAAGAAAAAATACCAATCTCTTCGCATGCGTTTGGCATGAGGGGGACTCATGTCATTTCTCTGGGGAGAAAACCTGTCTCTACGCCTAGAATCATAGTCTCTGTAACCACTATCATTTCTGTCTCTGCTGCGACTGTTCCAACTACTGTCTCTTGATCTACCAGTCGGGCGTCGACTGAAATAGAAAACTCTTGGACTGAAAAGGGTAATTTCATGGCGCATATGATGCTTTTAACAGTTGGTCCTCTTCCATTTCAGCTACATTAATACTTAATATAGCTATGGCCTAAATGATAGAACTGAGGTTTGGTCCACTTACGAATCTAGTCTGCCTATGTAATTATTGACTCTGTACATAGTCTGGGGTTGAAGTAGGGAATGAACATGTTGAGCACGCAGCCATGCATCATAGTTCTTAACTGGCTTATTGATAACTCACCTATCATGGTCCCATGAGTCTCTACGCCTGTCATCTCTTCTGTCATAATCATTTCTCTCTCTTCTAAATTTATCTCGCTGAGTTTTACGTCTGTTATCATAGTCATCATCACTGTCTGCCATCTTTAAAAGTCACAAATCCTGAAAACAAATCATTGGCATGGAGTTTTTAAGGTGTTCACATCGAAAGTTACTAACTTGATTCAAGAAAACAATGGAATCTGTATTTGGCTATAAGACCTGTTCACATCTGCTGTAGCAAATTTGGCTAGTGACCCATGTCATCATTATAAATTTTGCTCTTCTACATTTAGGGAATGTATTAATGATAGCCTACACTTC